CACTGCTCCACGGGGCTGTGTGTGCGCCCATCACGTCCCCACCATCACCCAACCCTGTGGGGCTGAGGAGGGCTGCCCCATTCCCCCCCCCACATGCCCGGCACCTCTGGGTGCTGCTGGTTGCCCCCCCCAATTCTGGATGCTGCTGTGAGGAGCTCCCGGGGGCACGGTGCCCTCCTCAGTGCCGGGGATCCCTGCGGTGCCGCCAGCCCATGGCGGTGGGGGGGGGGCGGGACGGACAGACGGCCGGAGCCCCCCGGCAACGCGGCGTCAGATGTGTTGTGAGCACAGCTCCGTGAGGAGGTCCTTAAATCATCCAACAGAGGCGCTCGGTGATGGAGGACGGCGGCTGCGCCGCGGTGATGGCTGCGCCGGGGGGGGGCGGTGGATGCGGTGCTGCTCAGCGCCCGCCATCGCTGCCCCCCGGCCCTGCAGCCTCGTGGGACGGCGGCGCTGCGGCTGCCATTGTCCCCTGGTCCCCATCCCGGTGCCTTGTGGCCGTTTAACCCCCCTCTGGGGCAGTGCTGGGGGGGCACCTCCTGCCCGACCCCACTCGAGCGCTGCCGTGCCCACAGCCCTGCTGCCACCCCACGTGGCCGGCACTGCTGGTGGTGCTGCAGGGCCCTCTGTGGGGCACGGAACTCTCCTCAGGGATCCCTTTGTGGGGCACAGGACCCTCTAAGGGGTGTGAGTTGCTGTGTGGGGCGCAGGACTCTGCGGGGCACAGATCCTATTTGGGGCACAGGGCCCTCTATGGGGCCGGGTCCCTGTGTGGGGTGCGGTGTGGGCTCCCCGCCGGCCCGGCCTTTCATATCCTGTCTGACTGGTTTACTTGGCTCGGCCCTAAGCAAAACATTCGCAAACATCCTGAGGAGCTGAGAGCTTAACCCGTGCCTGGCTGCCCTGCCGTGGGGCGCAGTGGGGCGCAGTGGCGCCGATGCTGCTGTGGGGCGGTGGGCGATGGGGCCCTGCACAGCTGTGTGCCTGCACGCATTGCACTGCAGAGCCATGGAGGGAGGGGAGCTCCTGGGCGCTGCTTTGGATTTTTCTGGGTTTTTGGTGGTTTTTTTTTTTGCTTTTTCTATCTGTTTTCCTTTCCCTTTTTATTTTTTTTTCCTCTTTTCCCTTTTTATTTCTTTTTGTCATCGTCCTGGAAACGTCAGCTCACATCTCCCATCCCTGTGCGCAGCCGGGGCAGCCCCCCAGCCCCCGACCCGTCCCTATGGCACGCAGAGGGGCAGCGGCCCCCGGGGGGAGGAGGGGGGTCCCCTGTGGGGGGCGCACAGCCGCTGACCGCTGCCCTCCTTGCAGCCGTGGAGACGCAGAGCACCAGCTCAGAGGAGATCGTGCCCAGCCCGCCCTCCCCACCGCCGCTGCCGCGCATCTACAAGCCGTGCTTCGTCTGCCAGGACAAATCCTCGGGGTACCACTATGGCGTCAGCGCCTGCGAGGGCTGCAAGGTGAGAGCTGCATGGATGTGCCATGCCGTGCTGTGGGGTGCCATGTTGTGCCATGCTGTGCTGTGCCATGCCGTGCTGTGCCATGCTGTGCTGTGCCATGCTGTGCTGTGCCATGCCGTGCTGTGCTGTGCCGTGCTGTGCCATGCCGTGCTGTGCCATGCTGTGCTGTACCATGTTGTGCTGTGCCATGCCGTGCTGTGCCAGCGCTGACCGGAGCTCTCTGGGTGTCCCCAGGGCTTCTTCCGCCGCAGCATCCAGAAGAACATGGTGTACACGTGCCACCGGGACAAGAACTGCATCATCAACAAGGTGACGCGCAACCGCTGCCAGTACTGCCGCCTGCAGAAGTGCTTCGAGGTCGGGATGTCCAAGGAGTGTGAGTGTGGGATGGGACGGGGGGGATGAGGGGGGAGGGTGGGTGACCCCACGCTGGGTGCTGCCCCGAGTGCTGAGGGCGATCCCGGCTGCCCCCCATTGGTTGGGGGGGGGGTGGGGGGGGGGGCTGCGGGGGGAGCACCCTGCTGGTGTGACGGCGCTGCCCGTTGCCTGGCAACACGTGATGGACGATGTCAGAGATAAATGGTGCTGTCTGTGCCAGTTGTCATGGTGCCTGGCTGCAACCCCTGCACCACGGGGGGGTCATCAGCGGGGGCCGGGAGGTCCTGCCCCATCTGTGCGCCCCCCGCTGGCGCCGGGGTTGAGCAGCACCCACTGCACCTACAGGGCTCTGCGCCCCCCCCAGCTGCTGCCTCACCGCTGTCTCCCAGCGGCCGTCCCCCCTCTGCCCAGATCCGCCCCCATGGTGACACAGAGGTGGCTGTGAAGGAACTCTGTGGGTTCAGGGGACACCGGGGGCTTTGGGGGGGGTTTGGTGGCGCTGACAGTGCCACCCCCGCAGCCGTCCGCAATGACCGCAATAAGAAGAAGAAGGACGTGCCGAAGACGGAGTGCTCAGAGAGCTACATCATCACCCCCGAGGTGGAGGAGCTGATCGAGAAGGTCCGCAAAGCACACCAGGAAACGTTCCCTGCGCTCTGCCAGCTCGGCAAATACACCACGGTGAGTGAGCGGCCGCACCGGGTGCCACCGCACGGAGCCGCAGCTGGGAGGGAGCTGAAGGCCTGCTGTGCCCACAGAACAACAGCTCGGAGCAGCGCGTGTCGCTGGACATCGACCTGTGGGACAAATTCAGTGAGCTGAGCACCAAGTGCATCATCAAGACGGTGGAGTTCGCCAAGCAGCTGCCGGGCTTCACCACGCTCACCATCGCCGACCAAATCACGCTGCTGAAAGCCGCCTGCCTGGACATCCTGGTGGGAATGGAGACGGGGCCGAAGACAGGATGGGGATGAGGAGGGGGCTGGGGGCGGGGGGGGCGCGGGGTGGAGATGGCACAGAGCCGATGCGGAGGACAGAGTGGGCGTGGGGCTGGCGCTGGGGTGGAGATGGGGCTGGGGATGTGGTTGGGCGCTGCACCCACGGGTGCTGAGCTCCCCCAACCCCTCTGCCCCCCAGATCCTGCGGATCTGCACGCGCTACACCCCTGAGCAGGACACCATGACCTTCTCGGACGGGCTGACGCTGAACCGCACGCAGATGCACAACGCCGGCTTCGGGCCGCTCACAGACCTGGTGTTCGCCTTTGCCAATCAGCTGCTGCCGCTGGAGATGGACGATGCTGAGACCGGGCTGCTGAGCGCCATCTGCCTCATCTGTGGGGGTGGGTGCCGGGGGGGGGGGCTGTGGGACACCCCGGCCCCAGGGCCGAACCGGGACACCCTACAATCACAGCCCCTCCTCACCGCGTGGCCGCCCTCAAACCCCTCTGTGCCCTCCGCCAGGTGCAGCCGTGCGCCAGGCAGGGAGGGGTGGGATGGGGGGGGGCACACAGACCCCGTAACCTTTGCCCCCCCCCCCCCCTCCATGCAGACCGCCAGGACCTGGAGCAGCCTGACAAGGTGGACAAACTGCAGGAGCCGCTGCTGGAGGCACTGAAGATCTACGTGAGGAAGAGGCGGCCCAACAAACCCCACATGTTCCCCAAAATGCTGATGAAGATCACAGATCTCCGCAGCATCAGCGCCAAAGGTGAGTGGGGGGGAGGGGAGCGGGGTCACAGCCCCCCTCGGCCCCGGGCTGCTGGGGAGGGAGAGCAGTGCTTCGGGGCGCCAATTTGGGGCGCTCATTTGGGAGTGCCAGCGTAGGGCTGCCAGTCGGGGCGCTGGCTGGGAGGTGCTGCTTGGGGATGCCGATTTGAGGTGCCAGCAGCCCCCTCCCCGCTGACCCCCCCCGTCCCACCCCCCGCAGGCGCCGAGCGGGTGATCACACTGAAGATGGAGATCCCGGGCTCGATGCCGCCGCTCATCCAGGAGATGCTGGAGAACTCGGAGGGCATGGACACGATGGGGGGGCAGCCGGGGGGTCCCCGCTCAGGAGGTTTGGGGCCCCCCCCGGGCAGTTGCAGCCCCAGCCTCTCGCCGAGCTCCACACGCAGCAGCCCGGCCACGCACTCGCCGTGACCCATGCCCGGCGTGCGCCAGGACACAGCTTGAGGGGGGGGGTCCATCTGCAGCCCCCCCGGGGCGGACTCCTCGCAGCCCCCCCCCCCCCCGGCACAGCCCCGGGACCCCCACCCGGAGCGGACCCAGTGGGAGCGGCGCTGCCCCCGGCCCTCCCCACCCCGGGGCACTGCAGTGCTTTGGTTGATTCACATTTCAGGGGCGCGGGGACCCCCGGGACGCCTCCCTCCCCCCCCCTCCCCCGGCCCCACCAGCACCAGCACAAACGGGACCGCGACCGCCGCCATCGCCCCGGCCCGGCCCGGCCACTGGGGGGGGGGGGAACCCGGCCGACCCCGCCACCGAGGAAGCAGAGTCATTTAAAAGAGAAAGAAATCAAAGTATATATATATAAATATCTATAAATATCTATAAATATGTTTTAAAACCTTTGTAAAAGTTTGGAGGGGTTTTTAGGCTGTGCAGGTGGAGGGGGCACGGCGGGCGCTGCCGGGGGCGGGAGGGGGGTTGGGGGGGGGGGCACACGATTTATTATTATGACTTATTTTTTTTCTGTTGTTGTTGTTGAGATTTTAGTGGTTTTAGAGGCGGGGGGGGGCGGGCGGGCCCCTATCCTGGGCCCCCCCCCAGGTGGGGCGGGGGCTGCGGGGCCCGGCGCGGCCGCACGGGGAGGACGTGGGGACGGGAGGGGGAATGGCTCCAGAATAAAGTTTATTTATTCTATGCCCGGCTCGTTCTTGCTGTGGGGCACGGGGGGGGGGGGCTAAAGGGGTACATGCTGAGCCCCACTGCGGGGTCCCGTTGCCCCCATGCATCCAACAAAGCGGGGATGGGCAGAGTGCAGTGGGGTGCGGTGCCTGCAGAGCCCCGGCGCCCTCGTGACACGTGTGGTCAGCACTGCTTTGTTTTCCTCCCTCTCCCAGTTTTCTTTCCAGCAGCTGCAGGGTGAGGCCCATCCGCTGCCCCACAACAGGAACCGGGTGGGGAGGGGGGGGGCAGCAGGGCACGGCTGCTTCCTGACACCAATGCAGACCTGTGACCCCCCCCAGGCTGAGCGCAGCCACAACTCATCGCAGCGACGGCACACGCGTTTCACGCATCCAGGGCAGCTCGCACTGGGGGGCGCAGCTGCTGAGCCGCCCCCCCGGAAGTGGGGATCTTCTCGGGGGCCGTTCGGCTCTTGCGCAGGAGGTGGCCGAGCTCCGCCAGGCTGAGCAGCGCCGACGCCAATCCGACGGCGAAGTAGAAGCGGATGAAGCCGGTCCGCTCGGTGGGGCGGGACACGAAGCAGTGGACGCGGTGCGGGCCCGGCCGGGGGCGGCAGACGAAGAGAGGCGGCACTCGGGAGCCGTAGAGCAGCGGCTGCCCCAGCAGGAACGACAACCTCGGCCGCGCTGCGGAGCGCGACGCTGCCCGCGTAGAAGCGCCGCAGCCGTCGGGAGCGCCGCCCCGCTGGGAGCCCCGCTTTGGCCGTTTGGTGCACGGCGAAGATGAGGAAGAGCGCCGAGAGAGCGAGCACGAGGAAAAGCAGGAAGCGGTAATGCGAGAGCGGGAAGGACGCGTCGTAACACATCGGTTTGCAGCCCGGCTGCCGCGTGTTGCACGCGAGCTCCTCCTGCTCGTCCTCGAAGACGTCGCTGCCCACCGTGGCGAGCACCAGCACGCGGAAGAGCAGCGTCACCAGCGGCCAGCAGCGGCCCCCCATGGGCGAGTCCTCCTGCACCGCGTCCAGCAGCGAGCTCAAGAAGCCCCACTCGCCCATCGCTGCGGGAGGGGGCGGTGCTGGGGACGCTGTGCCCGGGGGTCCCGAAGGCACCGAACGTCCCCGCGCTCCGAGGAGCCGAAAGCCGCCCCTGCAAAAATTCACCCCGACGAACGGCCCCAAGAGGTCCCGCCGGTCCCGCCCCCCCCAGTCCCGGTACCTGCGGAGGGAGCTCCGGTCCGACGCCGTCCGCTCTCCGCCCCGTGTCGGGATGGCGGCCCCGCTGCTTCCCGGAGCCCTTTTAGAGGCAGCGGCCGAGGGGTTCCCTGGGGGGGCGGGCGGAGCGCATCGCGCGTGGGACGGAGAGGCAGCCTTACAGCCCCGGACGGGGCGGAGAACCGAGCGAGGCCGGGGGGTCCCCGCGCTGCACGGCGGCGCTCCGTGGGCGCAGCGCTCGGCGGACGTCGGGATGAGCGGAGCGGCCCCGCACTGTGTGCCGTGCCCCAAACCCGCACCGCGGGAGCCGCAACAGCGCTGCCGTCGGCGGGGACGCGCTGGAGCCGCTCTCCAGAGCCCGGCGGTGGAAAACGCTGCGTTCCAGCGCGGCACCTCGGCGGCACCGACAGCGCCGGGATGCCGGGCAGGACGGGGTGCTTCCGCAGCGCCCGCGTGCGGCATCGGGCAGCGCGGCCGGCGGTGCCGCGTGTGTGCGCTGCGCCCATCGCCCTCGGGAGCCCCGCCGTCCGTCTGGGAACCGCGGCACACGGGGCTGAGGGCGGGCGGCTCCTCCTCGCCGCCCGTTTTTCGCTCGAAGGCCTCAGCACGGTGGCGGGCGGAGGCTTTGCGACGCCCGGGTGAGGGGTTGGGGAAGAGCAGCTTCCCCCGGTGCGCTGCGGGACGGGGAGGTCCGGCTGCGGGGCTCCCAGCGGCGCCGGGCAGCGGCTGAGGCAGAAGCCCCGCGGGGAGCAGAGGCGATGCGCGGCGCTCCGTGAGGCTGCGCTGCTGCAGGCGGGGTGCAGGAGCCCCAGCGGAGCGGGGCCGGGCTGCGGGGCTGCCGCTGCATCTCCCGTCCCATCGTTGGACACAGAGCCGCACGCAGCTCCACGTCCAACCCAGCGCCCAGCGCAGCTCAGCTGCAGCTCAGTGAAGGAGCTGGGAATTGGGACGCATTTGCCGTAGAGTTGTGACACAGCTTTAGAATAATGCTGAGGAGGAAGGAGGGAGAAGGCAGGGCGCTGGTGAAGGGTGAAAGGTGGGTGAACAGAAAGGGACAACAAGTAGACAAGTAGAAAAACTTTTATTACGTCAATATTTAAAAGGACAGTTTAGTGACAAGAACGACAGAAAAACACAGAATATTTACAGACAGTTAAGAAATATCACTCAGCCCCTCAGAGAAGCAAAGCGCAACTGGCCATACTGCAGTAAAGCACTGCTGAGGGGAAGAGGAAGGCAACCCTGCCCTGCTTTTGCTGAGGAACACAAAACAGGAGCTGTGCTGGGGTGCCACAGCTCCCAGCTCCCAGCAGAGGGGAAGGAAGAGCTGCCCTCAGGTACAGACTGGCACGAGAAGCTCCACGCTGCTGAGAGCTGCTCTGCACCGCTTCCCCTGCGCCGAGTGTGGACAGAAGCCCAGCATGGGGACCTGCTGCTTCCCAACCAGCGCACTGCAATAACCAGCCTGCATCCCTTCAGGACGGCACAAAGCCTGAGGGAGGAACGCCTGCCTGCCCAGCACAGCAGCCCTGAGCCCAGGCTGAGCTCTGGGCTTCTTGGCAGCTGGTCAGGAGGTAAAAGCGCACCGCAGCACAGCGTGGAGACAAGCCTGCACAGACCTCCGTTACCAAAGCTGGATTGAAAAAGCCAAAGGCTAAAAGTCAGCATGGCAGAAACGGAGCTACTGGGGCGCACGGCCAGTCTCTGGTTGTGGAGTTAAAAGCTAAAATATTTTATTATTTTAAAGGTATCTAAAAAGGGGAACATCTGTATAACTTATAGGACTTAAGATACACAAATGTGTCTTGCCATTAAAATGACTGTAACGAGTCAGAAGATTTACCAGGGCCTCCAGCGGGGAGAAGGGAAACACGTCAGCACCGGCTGGGAGAAAAGGCAGCAGGTGCTCCTGTTCATAAACAACTCTGAATTATCCTAAACCTAGAAAAATGTTCTGTATTCACTCGCATCCAACACTTTTGAAGTTAAATTAACAAAGATTCCTACTCTGAGATGCGGGTTCCTTGGCTGCAGGAGCTCTGTCCCGAGCTCTGCTCACTGCCAGTCCGTGGCCCAACGCTTTAAAAGGTGATAAAAACTCAGAACACGTCCTCCTCGTCAGAGGACTCCAGGTACTGGACGGGCTTCTTGAGGCGCCCAGGCCGGCTGCGGGGCGCTGCTGCCGCAGGGCCGCCTGCACTCAGGTCATCGACGTCCTGCCTGGGTTTCTGGACAGAAGGAAGCGGAGCATTGAATCAGCTGAGCTCAGAGCAGGGCCCTTCTACACCCAGCTCCCCATCTGGGCCACGGGGATGAGATGAGCTCTGCTCCCAGCCCGCTGTCCCAGCAGAGCAGCACAACGCGCCCCGGTGCCCCCTCAGCACCAACCTTTCCTGCGACAGATCTGGAAGGCTTTGAGCCGAAATCCGAGTCTGAATCAGAAGAACTCGACAGCCTCTTGGCGGCCTTCCGCCCCCTGGGGGCACCGGGCTTCTTGGCTGCGGCTATGGGAGGTGGGAGCTCCTCCCTCAGTGCTGCCCTTGGGGGCTTTGGTGCCGCCTTCTTCTTGGTGAGCATATCCACGATGGACGGCTGGTTATCTGAAACACAGCGCCGTGTTCGAGCCCTTATTCTGCTGCCTCTCATCTCCTGCTCTCACTCCCAGCACAGGTGCTGCCCCGCCAGCTCGGCGCTCAGCTCCCCTCACCTGGAAGCACGGCTCTCCCCAAACTAAGCAGCAGTTTGCTGAGGTTGTGAACGAGGCTCCTCTGCCCGGAGCACCAAATGCCCCGCATTAAAACGCACCCACAGCCATTCAGAGCATTGCAGAGGAGTTCCGAAGGCTCAAAGCCGTGTAACCAATCTTACAGCTTCAGCGCTTTTGCTGAGGCAAGGAACGTCTTTCCCTCCTCACTCTGAGCAGCTGTTGAGTTTTCTCACCTGTATTTTGACGTTTTCTAACAGCACATCTCCAAACTAAGTTGAAATGAGCAAAGCGCTTCTGCATGGCAGCGCCTGAACGCAGACCTCTGATGAATTGAACTCCTCCAAACTCCTGACTGAAGCACTGCCCGTTTCCCACAGGAGTAACTGCTACCCCAGAATTACCTTCAGTGACTGCAGAGCTCAGAGCCCAGCTTTGCCTTACCCTTGGCAGTGCTGCCCTTCTTAGCTGCTGCAGGCTTCTTTGGCACGGCCTGAGTGCGAGGCACGGGGACAGGAGGAGCTGCAGGATCCTGACTCACGCTTCCAGGAGCGACATCTTGGGCTCGAACTGAACAGAGAAAGGAGGAAGCAGGTCTGAGGCAGCTAACTGATCTACGCTGGCTGTAAACACCAGAGCAGAAGGAAATGCTTTATGACAGCTATCAAAAAGCAGAATAATCACAAAGAGAAGCTGGAAGCAGGCAGAATCCCGGGCGGCAACACCAGCTCGCACTCCAGCATCAGTTTCTTTGCGTGGTGCGACTCTGATATCTGCCCTTGCTGGCATTACACAGAGATCAGCAGCCAGCAAACTGCACTGGTGGAGGGAAATGAGAAAGGTTTGGAAGGAGCTGGACTCACCAGGGACAGCATCTGGCAGCGGCTTCTCCTTGGGAGCTTTAGCTTTTTTCTCTGTGGTTTCCCTACAACGCAAAAGCCGTTATTCCTGTCACTATTACTACATCATGTTAGCAGTGAGCACAGCCCACCTCCAGTGCCTGCACGAAGAAATACTCACTTTGGGGCAGCTTTGGGCTTGGGAGGCTTCTTTTTCCAGTCTGTGTCTGAGTCACTGTCGCTTCCGCCGCTCCCCTGATACTCAGACTCCTCATCTGAGCTGTTAAGATCTGCATCCGAGTCTGAATTGACCATGGGTTTGATTTTGGCTGATGAAATAACACAGATATCATTTTACACACTTGGTATTAAGCAGCTCCGCTTCCTTTCCAGTATTTGAGATGTAGTTATTAATTTAAAAAGACTCAAAACCAAGCAGACACTGAGGATGACAGTGAGGAGACTGCAGGCTGCCGGTGTTTTCTGGGCTCACTCGGCAAGAACACATTTGATTTGCTAAGAAAGCTGCCCAATATAAAACAGTAATTTCTTCTCTGCTTTCCCTTGAAAGACCGCTGTGCAGATCTACTCCCAGGTCAGAAACATTGGATTGCTCCATAAAGGAAGATAAATGAGCCTTTAGAGCTGCTTCCTGGGACCCCTCCGCACAGCCCTGCGCCGCTCACCTGCCGCCTGGCGCAGCACTCGCTCCCGTTTGGAAGGCGCCTCAAAGTCACCCGACTCTGAGTCAGAGCCTGAGTCCGACCAGGGGTTGCGCTTCATTTTCTTCACAGGTTTGAAGGGCAGAGTGCTCTGCTTCTGGGGGCCTGGAAAACACGGGGAAGGGCTGAGCCCCGACCTCCACGTGCCGTCGAGTCGCTGGAGCTCAGCTCAGAAATACAGCACTGCACTCAGAGGCTCCAGCGGCCCAGAGGAGCAGCGACCGCGCCACCAGTGTGGCCAGGATCTCTTCACATCTCGTCTCCCTCACCCGTTTTTCCAAACACACCAACCCTGGGTGCCACTCAGCCTTTGGGAAGAGGCAGATAAGCAGCCGCCCCCCCCCTCGCTTCCCGTGGCGGAGTTGCACACGTTTACCTTGCTCGGCTTTACGCTTCTGTGCTAATCGCTGCTTAAGGCTTGAGGGCTCTTTATCCCCAGATGAGTTTCCTTCTTGTTTCTCATCAGATTCGTTTTTCTCACTCTGAAGATAAAAGCAGATACTGTCAAGGAGGTGGGAAGTTAACTCACAACTGGAAGAGGCACAGAAAGAAGTTTGTACATCCAGGAGTTGGCGATGTAAAAAGTCTGAGTTTGTGAAACAGACCGTCTGAAATTGGTTGCTGCCGAGGAAATCGGGCAAGTGTTCCCCAGGTCAGGGGACTGACAGTGCAAACCCAACACAACAAAAACAGGAGCCTTGTGCCCACACCTGACTGCTTTGGGGCTGCCTCTGTGTGCTGGCAGCACGGCCTCAGGGCCTGCTGAGGATGCAGGACTCAAACAGAGTGGCTTAAATCAACAGCAGGAATGTAACTGGAAAAGCTGTGAGATGGAATCTAAAGCTGCAGGAAAGGAGCAGCACCTGACGACAGCTGTAGGGGTATTTCTGTTCTCTAGGCTGCAGGAAGCTGAACAGCACCAAGTTCAGCTAACAAGAAGGTGCTTCTACAGGACTGTGCTGGAGAGGACGGAACAGAAGTGTTTGGAGCATCTGTGCACCTCTCACCTTGATCTTCCTTTTAGTTCTCTTCTCTGCCTCCGCCTTCATTTCTGCAGTGATCTGAGGAACAACCCTGATGCCATGAGGTGAAGGCATCACTTCTGTCAGCTGCGCCTTTGTCACCTTCTGCTTCCCTCCTTGTTTCCCTCCTTTTGCCTTTAAAGGTTTGCCAGTTATCCCTGCCATTTCATCCTGCATTTGCTTGGCTTCCACTGCCTGCAGAATTGAACATGAAGTGACACAGCCATGAGAATAAGAACCAACGTCCTGCTGGAAACCCCCCCCCATCACAGCCTGTGCTGGAAAACCCTCTAAACTCGCTGACAGAATTCCTATCATCAGTTTAAACAAAGCTTCCCTCTCTGCTATTTTTCCTGCTTTCCCCTCAGGCTCGCTTAGAACTCCTCTTCATTGATCACTGACTTCCTTCCCACAGCCTCCTTGGTGGTTTGACTGCCTGCCCCACAGCAGGTATTCCTACCCTGCCCTAGGAAGGCAAAGAAAGCTTTCATTCCCCTACTGGAGTGAGCTTAATGCAAGACATACAAACTTCCACTTGTAGTTTCCTGTTAGAGCAAAGAATTCAATTAACCACTGGATAAGGGAGTCATCTCACAGAACCACTGACATACATCAAGCTCTTCAACAAAGGCAGCAAGATCTTCCTTCCACAGGTCAGAGGAGCTCTTGCACTTCAAGTCTTCCAGCTCCTTTTCCTAAAGCGAATCACAGGTGAGAACCATGAGTGAGCCAACATAGCTTAACCCAGAAAATGCAATGCTTCTATAAGAAAATAAGGAGCATACTTTGTTATCTCTCTGCTTGCAGAGCTCATCTTTCTTCTCCTTGGTCAGGTACCAGAGGGGCATGTTGAGAAGATAGTTGAAATCCGGCCCAGTAGCTGCAGCTGATTCTTTGTCACTCTCATCTCCTTCTTCTTCCTCCTCCTGAATGAGAATTGAATCAATCATGGTCTGCAAACACAGCCACGTACAACCATAGGGCTGCCACGTGCTCACAGTGTGCTGGACCTGTACAGCACAGCTCAGAAATGGACAGAGAAGGAACTACGGCCCGAAAGGAGGAGCCCAACTGCAAAGAATTCTTCAAAGCTCTTCTGCTCTGCCCTGTTTGGCCTCTGTCTCGAGAGACCAAGTTCTCCTCAGGCTGCTTAACAACTCTCGTCTTCCTCGCTGCCCTTTCACTACAGCTGTGTCACAGTGGCAGAGCAGAGCCCTTAAAAAGCCCTGGGAAGGGAAGCAGTAGGATTTGCCACTGCTGGATGGCTGTCACCACTCTGCTCAGTGCCTCTGAACGACAGAATAAAGGTTTTTTGTCTCGCTTTCCCCATCAGACACCCAAGCTCTTGAGTTCTCCAAATGGCAAAGCAACTTGTGCTCCTTTCTATGAACTGACAGTGAATTGATGGCTCAAGTATTACCTTGTTTTGCAGTTCCTTCCAGGCCTTCACTGGATCCGATTCGTATCCTCTTTGGATAAGAACCTGAATCAGTTCCTTCTTGGGCTTGTTTTCTGTGAACAGACATTTCAGAATTGCCATCAGTGCCACGACAGCCCTGCTAGGAAAGGCAGGTGATCTTCACGTTTTGACTCCAGCAGTTAAAACAGCTCAGCACCCTCGATGGCTCTAAGCAGCCTTTCCTAATTGGAGCTGGGAGACGGGGCAGATCTTAAAATAACACCCAAAAATTGCTATTTTGGAGGCGATTTGTTAGCTCAGCATTTCTCCCACGCCTGTCAGGAACACCTGCTGGAGCACTTTAAACATTTGCTCCTTCATTTCCATACATGCATTTCCCCTGCCCTAAATAGAATCTCAATTTGGTGGGAGGAGAAGGAGCAGCGATGGTATCAGAATGGCTTGACGATAACAGGCAGGTGGGGGAAAAAGCCCTGATGTGACTTCAAGGCTTCAGTACAGCAGGAGCCTCATCAGGCATCACTTGGGAGATTTATTCTATAAATGTCCCAACCAATGGAAATGCTGCAGCTGCATTTTTGTTCTTCCCAATGTCGCAGCAGCAATCATCCACGAGGCACAAATACAAATGAAAGCAGCTCTGTCAGCCTCGGAGCTGCATCCTGCAGCAAGGCAAGGAAACGCATTTCAAGGGGATTCTCTCCCTTCTCGAGTCAAACAGACACAGGCTGCAGGATCTCCAGGTGCCCTGCAGGCACCAACCACCGAGCATCTCCTGACCCTTCGTCCAGCTGTGCTCCGCATCCATGCAAGTGAAATACAGGCCGCCCTGCAGGCTGAGCCGAGCTGGCTGAGAAGTGCAAGTGCTGCAAACAAAGATGTGCTTCTTTTTCCAGCTCATGATGCTCAGATGCTGTGAGCTCGGCTGTCTGCTCACTTTGAAACTCCGCTTCACTGCAAACACGACTCGGGATATTTTGCAGTCTCACAAAGATGACGCAGAAAAGAAACAGGCTCCTAAGAATTCGCTGGAACAGAAAACCCAAACCAACTGGAAACCCTTTCCAGCCCCCCCCCCCAGTACTTTTTTTTTTCCTACGTTTATACTTCTAAAGTAGTGCTGTAGGAAAGCTGTAAGAGCACTCTGCTGTAATTTACACGTGCATAACTCTATAGAGGAAGGGCGCCCTATGAAGCATTTTCCTCTGATGTTACGAGAACAGAAAGATGGGCTCTGGTGTTTTGTGAAAAGCCAGAGTGGGGCTGAGGGCGCTGACAGAGCCCAAGAGCTCCCAGTTCTCTCGGTTTCAAAGGCCCAAGAGCAGCACGTTACCAATCACAATTTTGCCATCTATTTTCTCCAGGATGAATCGAGCCTGGCTGCTCAGCTTCGCAGACTCCGCTCCCAGCATCCCAAGGAGCCACTCCTTCCTCAACCCGTAGTAACGCAGCCTGAGCTCAAAGAACTCCTTCAGGATGTCCTGGGGAGACTCGTACTTCTTGAGAAAGCCCACGTGGTCAAAGAGAACCTGGAGGGAAGAGCAGGGCCACAATGACCGTGGAACTGATTAACAAAACCACTAAAAGTCAGACGTGACACAGCTGTGATCCTGCAGCTGATTTATCAACCAACCCATTTTAAACCCTAGTGTTGGTTCAGAAATTATTTCTGCTCGCAAGCGCAGCAGCAGAGACAATTTTAGAACTTCTAAGTACTTAAAAACGTAGCAGAGCAACTGTTCCTTGAATCTCAAAGCTACTTGGTGGATCCATTTCTTGCAAACATCACACACTGCCTGGACATTCAGAGGTGTGGCCTTGGCACAGCAAAGGATGCTGTGAGACTTCGGATCACTTTGACACCCGCAGGCAAACCCACCCCACGTGGGACCCACTGCCAGGTCAGTCTCTTTAGCTTTTAAAGGTGAATCTAGAAAGCTGATTAAACCCAGTGCTATCAGGAAACCCCAAGTCACCAGGTTGCTGAGAAGGAATATTTTCATGAGAAGCAGGAGCTGCAACTGGACACATCACTGAGGTAAACCAAAACTCTCTTCAGCAAAAGCCATTACGTACCATAGAGTTGCATGTTAGGTTTGTTTGGAGTTTGAAGACCTTATGCAACCCCACTGCTTCAGCTTCAGCTAGCTTCTCCTCACTCATCTTCACTACAAACTTCACTGTGGTGTCAGTGTGGTATTCCTTATAGTCTGTGATCAGTGGGGGGGTCTTCTCAGTCCCGTTTAGCATCGGCTCCAGGACTTGCTCTTTGTAGGTCTGAGAAAAGAATCCAAGTCAGACCCACTGGTCCAAGGAGATGAAAAGCCAATAAACACTAATAATCACTTCTTACTTTACAGGGCAAACTCAGCGTTTGTTACCTGTGTCCACGTTCTGACAGGCAGCTCAGTGATTTCAATGGTCGTGGAATCAAGGATAGACACTTCACCACTTATCACATACTGGTTAGGTCCCAGCTCATCTATTGTGCCTTTGAAATTCTTGTAGCTGGGAAGCTAAGCAGAAAAGAATCATAGAATCACAAGGTTGGAAACAAACTCTAAGATCATCCAGTCCAACCCTCTCCTCAACACCACTGCCACCACAAGCACTAAACCACATCACGCAGGGAAACACTGGATTGCAAGCACTCAAAAAAGCATCATACGCTTCAATAGCAGCTGAATAAACCACCAAAGGAGTCACGGTGCCTTCAATCCATCACCTACCATCGGCAGCGGCTCGTTCCCATCCAGCAGACGACGGATGTTGTTCACAGTCTCCCTGATGTCAAAGTTGGGGATCTTACAGGACCAGCCGGTGCCGATCCCTTCTGCCCCGTTTATCAGCACCATGGGGATGATGGGCATGTACCACTCCGGCTCCACACGCTGGTTGTCATCGTAGAGGAACCTGAGGACGTTGTCATCCACCGGTGGGAACAGCAGCCGTGCCAGCGGGCTACAAGAGAACAGAGAACGCGGGCCCAAAGCCTCGTTACACAGCAATGCCTGCAATGTAAAAAGAACCCCTAAAGTCAGATCAAACAAATCAATCACAGTGTGTTTCTTTCCATATGAACCAGCCCGGGTCTTTGTGAGGAAACCAGGCTTCTGGAGCAACACTCAAACGAGAGCTGCATCTTGAGCAGTCTCATCAGCCCCTACTTGTCTGTGCAACCCCTATAGTTTGTACTTTGATAAAGGAGACACCACACTGCGCTTCAGGATACCAGAACACAACTCTCTCAATTCAAGGTCATTTTTTATCCTACCCAAAAGTCTCCTCACACTGGTTTTGCTCTCATTTCTGCTATTCCATGCTATTCCTATCGGATATGTAGGACAGCAGATCAAGTTTACACATCTGGATGTAGAATCCCAGTCCCACAAATCGTGGCTGATCTTTTTTATTCAAAGGGTGCAGTTCTAGAGGCTTTAAGGGAAAACATTACTTTTCGTTTTAAATGCCGTTACATCGAGTCTCGTAGCAATGCTGCAGATACTCAAGGCTGTAAGAACCCTGCAGTGCCAACCTCAGCATGGTGAAGATGTATCGAGGGCTCGCAGAGTCCTTCCCACCGTGCAGCCTTGTGCCAAACTGGCCGATGGGCTGCAGCAGGTTCAGGTTGTTACTGCCCACAAAGTTCTGAGCGAGGTTTATGATCGTCATCATCAGCGATGCCTGCAGGACAAAGAAAAAGGCGTAATTCTTCACTGAAAGGACAGCATTAAAGGTAAAGTTTACACTAAGAACAGAACTGATAGGGAAGATAAATTCAGCTCATAAAAGGTGCCCTCCCAAATCCATCACAAATAAAGCAGGTTTTTCTCGTTCCGCTTCCTCACACCACGCAGCCCATCGGGAGGTGAGACGGCAGGGCGGCCGATCTCGTGAAACTGAAATCTCTCTGCTCTTTTTTAAGGCATCCTCACAGTGAGGGCAGGCTCCTACCTCGCCATGGTGGTACGAGGACATCTCAGCTACAGAGCCAGCCAGCTGAGCCACCTTCACCTCCCGTTTGTCGTTTCTTTTGAAGCACGTGAACAGAACTTTCCTCTGGCCTGGCTTCAAACCTGCGCAGCAAAAGACGACCTTGTGTTTCCAACATGCAATGTGTTTCACTTGCTTCTGCTCTCTAGAGACAGCAACTTAGAGACCTAAAGATTCTGCACCACCAGAGTTAAGCACAGAGCAGGAAAGACATTGAAGCCAAAGGTTAAAAGCACTTGGAAGGTAGAAGTTGGAGTTCAGAACACCGACCCTGAAAAGTCACCAAATTCCCCTCATGCAGGACACAGCAGGCCGTTCCCTGGGTACGTTCTGGGAAAGCCCTGCGTGGAATCACTGCCCTGAAATAACTTACCATCAACCAGAGATGGGATGGATCTTTCATTATCTGAGTTTGAGAACAGGACCAGCTCCTTGTTGATGAAGTCGTTGTACGTCAGGTAATTCGTGTCCTTCCCATACAGATAGTCCTAAGGAAAACAAATGCAAGAGCTCTTTAATTTTAACAAGGCTCGACCTGTTTCTTGGCTCACACTTGGCTGGTTTCACTCAAATGGAGGCTGCTGGTAAGACTGCAGGTAAACACAGTTAAGTGATGACATTCTCAGCATGGAAAAACAAAACGATGCTTCCCATGAAGCGCATTGCCCCAGTTGTACTCAAGTTGTCATTTCCCTTTTGAATAAAGTAATTTGAAAGGGTTAGAAAGGAAAAGAAGGATTGGCTCACTGGCACTGAGGTTATATGAATACAATGCGAAAAGGAGAAGCAGATCTGCAAAATCCCAAACCGTTACGGATCCTGTAGCCCAGCGACTGCACTGCTTACAGCCCTGGCTTGCCAGAATTAACTGAGAACAGGGAGACAGGGAACCAAGTTCCTTCATGCACAAAAACCTTTTACCTCCGGCAGGCCTTGCAGCTTCCGCTGCCTTCGATCCTCCATGAAGTTGGTCAGCCATTCCTTTCGCTCTTCTACCTTCTTCTTACTAAAGGCCTGTGGTGCAAAATGAGAAATGGCTCAGTTGTGGGACGCTCTGTGCCCTCCTGCAACACCAAGAAAAGGAAAGCACACAGAGGAGTCTCAGCAGGAGAAGAACACGGGCAGCAGGCTGACTTAGCAGCCTGAGAAGTGCAGTAACAGATCCTTGGGGCTGAACACGTTGGATTTCCACCAGTCTGTAAGAGACACAGCAGCCAGGTTTAACTGCATGAAATTTTAACAGAGTCACGGAAAATTGAAGTATGTTTCCTTGTTACTTAACACTTCGGAGGATAAGAAAAAGCTCAGTTTTTGGTACTGTCTAATAGGTGAGAACAGATGAGAGCCAGTGTCTCCTTAGGGTGGTGGAATTCACAGGAGTGGGGACTGTTGTGAATCCTCTGGTGAACCATTTCAGGAGAAAAAACATCTGGAGGGGAACGGAGGGGTTTGGCTCAGAGGAAACTGCAGCAGAACACACAGCATGATGTGGCAGGAATATTTACTATTGTGTCTGAAATGTCAATTGGTTTGTAGTGGTTAGTTTGTTCTGAGCTATATTTAAAAGCCATCGTTGAAAGGGTGCTCTTGGCCTGAGCTCCGAGAAGTAGATTTGCTTCTACTGGTTAAACTGAGGCTGTAGCCTTGGTAACAAAGAGACCATCTCAAGCCCAAAGGCCTCTGAGAGCATTTTTAGAGAAAATAAGCAGCAAAATACCAAAGGTAGTAAATCAGCAATTAATTCAAGTGTAAGTTACCAGGGTGATGGCAGCATCATCTTCAGGACCAGAGTACTTGAAGCCAATTCGATGCCTAGCCATATCTGCAAAGTATTCCTTAGCCTCCTTCGATGTGCTGGTACCCAAACCTGCAGGAGCAATGCTAGTCAGTCCTAATTTCTTGCTTAAATTAAGTTGCACTTCCAAGGAAGGCATTACTGTATCTAATCTCTGCAATAAATCACATCAATGTACAGCATAAAGGTGCTTTGATTTAATGGGATGTAAGGAATCACAACAGGAGGTGTAGGAATCAAAGACAACGCAGCAACTGCACTTTTAGGTTGTTGGCTGCGACTTCTGTAGATGTGTGAAACCAATCCCTACAAACTGGAAGAGATTCCTCACCATCCAGCCGTTGTTCTGCACCTGGCAGCTTGCATCAGCATGCAGCAGCCCACAGTAGTTCAGGAGGGAAGTGAATTTCGGAGGCCACCTACCCCAAACCTTTCTGCAGAAGCTGGACTAATTCAATAAGGAACATTATTTGCCTTCACCACCTCAGGTTCTCTACAAACCTTTGTAGTACTTGATTTTCCACGAGTTGTAGTTCTGTGTACTGTTTTTCCATTCCTCAAACTCAGGGATGCTATAGAACGCAATTTCTTCTTTGTTTTTGGAGGCCTGTAATGAATGAAGGTGTTAATTGTGAAATGGGAGGCAGACGTGGGCCAACAGGCTCCTGTCCCTTCACCTTTGTACCTCCCTTACCTTAATGATGGGGGTAATAAATTCCTCCAAGAAGTTGTGTCTCAGAAGAGAAGGCCAGTTGTGATGGATGAAGTTAATCAGCAAACCTTTGATATGAGATCCATCTTGATCCTGTTTTGTGGTTTTATTTTGGAGAAAAGTACAAATGTAACCAGGGCCCTGATGGCAGTGCCAGCTGTTAGCTTAGTACAGAAACACAAATTAAAACCATTAACTTTCAGCTCCAAAGAAGGGGCCACGCTTTGAGCACTGAAAGTTAACAGAAAGAAGAGGCACATTTGAGGTGAACGAATGCATGAAGGACTTTGCATCAGCAGACTGCAGAAACAGCAGGTGGAACTTGGTAACGTCAGCCCCCTCTATCCCTCCTATCTGAAAACACTGAGATACAGAAGGCTAGAGATGAGTGCAGAAAGTTTGGCATGGCAGCAGCAGGATTCTCCTCTTTCCTCTGTATCCCAGCACTTTTTCTTCTCCCAGCTCTGAATTTCAGTCAGCCTAACCTGATCTGTCATGATCATGATCTTCCCATAGCGAAGACTCTTTAAAGACTCTCGATCTTCATAATTCTTCTTATACTGTAAACCCACAATCTTGATGATGTTGTTGATTTCAGCATTTTCCATTATCTGGAAAAGATCACAAGGAATACAAACTTTTCTATCAGACTCAAAGCAGCAAAAACATCCATCAGGTGTAGGCGTCCAACTGTGCTCCACCTTTCCAGAGTCTCATCTGTTCAGAGCATTGCATTATTTCTCATCCAGTGTCTGAGCTTTACATTTTTCGAGGTCATTTCAAACATCTCCTAACCCAGAGCACAAATGCTCTCCCTGCAGGCAAAGCACTGCACAAGGTTTGCTCAGCACTGCTGCTCGCTCAGAAAGGCAAGCTGGAGGTGAGAGCAGCCCGCTGCCTTCATGAGTTACAGCATCAAGAACCCTGGGACTCAGTTACAAACACTGCATGACAAAGCACACCACAGCTCCCAGCAATGCTCCAGGTCTTCCCACTAACCTGCTTATGAGAAGCTTCCCTGACGTTGAGCATTTTCCCACGGAGGGGAAACACTCCGTATTTGTCTCTACCAACCACTCCTAACCCAGAGACAGCCAGCGTTTTGGCTGAGTCTCCCTCGGTCAGGATGAGCGTACAATCTATTGAATTCTTGCTGCCTGAAAAACAAAGAACAAAAACCCAAGTCTTCAAATTAAGAAGTGAAGTCCAGGCTGGCACAGCGCAAGTTGTGTGAGGTGACTCATAAACCAGACAGGTCTGCAGTGCAGAACAAGCACAAGCTGCCGTTTTCTTTACAAGACGGTCGTTTCATTTGTGCTGTGAGCAAACCTTCCCTGCCTCTGCACAAACTGATGTGAAAAACTCACGTGAAAAACTCACCAGCATCATTGGCATCATCCAGTTTAGGAACGCCCTTAATCTTGGTGTGCTTCACAGCTGAACACTTCTTATTCAGCTGGGTCTGAGCTTTAAATTTTACCCAGTTTAGGATACTTTCAACAATGCCACAGCCAACTGCCTGCAATGCCCAAACAAAATTACAGAACAAAATCAACCGTGGGAAAAACTTTAAGTTGCTTTTTTCCTTTAATTCGTGCCTTTGTAAGCAGTTTATTTGCCATGCTAAGCACAGGCTGCAGCTTTACAGACACATTGATTACCCACACGCAGCAATACTTACACCCTTGATAAATTTCTCACTCAGTTTACACGTTGAGCCAAAGCTCTTAGCCTGCAGAGTCATGTTCTCTTTAGTCTGAGAGTCGAAGGTTGGATTTTCAATCAAGGAATTCACAAAGATCCACATGTGGTTCTTCACCTGCAGGTAAACAAGAGGAGCATTGCAAGCTGCAGCTCCACTCCCTGTAACAGCAGTGCCTTCTTTCTGAGGCCCGGCTGTCAGGATCACACAGCGAGGAGAACAAGTTCCACGATTGCTGGTTGTTTCTGGAACTTTCCTAGATGTCTTTTGGCACAATTTAGGACGGCTGATAAGAGCCACGTGCCTTGGGATGTCAAGACACCAGCAGCCCTCCCACTAAACAAGAACCTAACAGCTGCTGAGCCGCAGTGCTTCCTTACTGGCTCAGAGCGCTCTGCTTCACCTGAGCAGAGAGAACACTGTTGGCTTAATGTGGAATACATACAAGGCTTCTTTCATTGGAAATTCTGACACCGTACCTGAAATGGTTTCACTCCAACTCCGTTTTTGTTCTTCTTTTTCACAACATCAATGAGTTTCGTCACAATCTGGTCAGCTACGTAATCGACGTGCCTGCCACCCTGCGGGAGAACGGACCAAAGAGCTCCAGGTGGCTCCAGGGGAACAAAACAGGGCCAGAAATGAAGAGTGTGAAGTGAACACGACCACAGGAGCGAGAGAATTACCTTTGTGGTGGCAATGCTGTTGACAAAGCTAACTTGCTGGAAGCCTTTTTCACTTAAAGTCAAGCACACTTCCCACCTGGAATTCACTTCCTCATGAATGACCTTAAGTGCATTTCCAGTCTCATCCACTTTGTCCTTCAGATAGAGGTCCACGTAACTGCGGAAGCCTTTCACCTACAGATGAGAGCAGACCACTCATATGGGAGTAACAGCTCCTATAAATACTTCATGCACATCCTCCTGAAAAGCTGGTAGGGAAAACTGCTTGGCAAGCTTTCACTTTATTCTGTGCAACAGCATAAATGGCTTCAACAAAATCTCACTGGTTAAATGCCACGAGAAACACAGATGTTCTGTCCTGTTTAAATGCTCACTTACGGGCAGCCTCTTCCCATTCAGGAAAACTTTGACATCCTTTGTGGATCCAGCAATATCATAGGCCCTTCGGGACATCAGAGCCACGATGTCCTTGTCGAGAGTCGTCATTTTGAATTTGGACAGATCAGGTTGGAAAGTGACACACGTGTAATCTTCTCCATCAAAATGCTTCAGCTTCATCTCACCGGCCTTCCCCATGTTGTCTGTCCAGGTCTGAGGAGAGTTTTTGTGAGTTGAGTGCAACAAACACAAGAAACCAGCGCAGTTCCTAACAGCAGCAAACTGACTTGGAGTTTTAAATACTCGAAGGAAAAAAGCACTGCTTAAAAACTAGATTCTGATTTTGTCTGCTCATCTCATCATTTGTCTGAATCGCAGTTGTTGGCACAGTAGCTGTTGACCAGGTTTATTCTTGTCACACCAATGACACCCAGATTTATATAGGAAAAACTCAAGTCTAATTTGCAAATCTCAGGTACAACCTCCCTGAAATGAGCAGCATTCCTACCTGCTTGAACAACTTCTTGTATTCACGACACGCTGTCTCCACAGTAAATTTGGTGCTGAATATGTTGCACAGTTTGGCTCCATAACCATTTCGCCCACCTGGATTTAGAAGGAAAACATGTTTGTGTTGTTACCTTTGCTCAAAACCACCGGAGAGAACTCCAGACTAACGAGAGCTCATTCATTTCAGCACCAAGTCTGACTAACAATGAGCACTGTCCCACAAACCCTGCAGCCACTATAAAACCATATGTAATTAACACCAGTTATTACACCAGGTACTTGAGCTCCCAGAGCACACCAGTCAGGCTGCCCAGGTTTATTTGCACGTACTGCAGTGTTCCCTACCTGTGACTTTCTTTTCATCATCATCGTAGTTGCTGGATGTCAGCAGCTGACCAAAGATGAGTGCTGGCACATAGACCTTCTCCACTTTGTGTTCAACCACTGGAATGCCTTTCCCATTGTTCCACACGCTGATGGTGTTATTCTCTCTGGAGGAGGGGGAAAGCGTGTTTGTAAGGCTGCAGATGACTGAGCTCTGGAACAAACACAGAGGATCTCCAGGGAAAGGCCACCATTTCATCAAGAACAGATTTCTGTTCAGCAACTGCGGCAACAGCCAGCAGAGGGAGGGCAAGTCTACAAAAAGCCCTCATTTCAGACCTGCAGAGAGCGCCAATAAAATGGACCACCACAAAGCATGTGTTCAGTGGTGGAACAAAAAAACATGGAAACATGAAGTCACCACAGTCGCAAACAACCACAAAGCGGCGTCTCAGCAGCCTGTGCTCTGTGACAGATCGAGAAAGCACCCAGGGAAAGAAGCTTTTGCAGCCCACGAACAGGAATAGGGCTGGGCACAGAGCTCTGCAGCACCCACACTGATGTAGGAGAGCCGTGAGGGAAGGAGCCAGCTGAGCGGGGAAGGCACTGCACAGAACCAGCACTCACGGATCGATTGTAACTTTGATGCAGGACATGCTTTTATCCCTCTGCTTGTTGTCCGCAGCATTGACTGGAAGGGAAAGAGGGTTTTTAATCAGAGCGTGTTCGCAAGCAAGACAAAAGACAAGACAAAAGGTTTGAACCGCATGGGGTTTTCAGTGGGACAAATGCAAAAACCCATCGCAGGACTGCCAAATATCTCCTTGCAAGGCAGATGTTTGGCCAGGTACAAGGAAGGACGCCACAAAATCGCGTTAAAAGGAAAACCGCGGGGTTGAACGGGCTCTGTAACAGCCGTGCTGCGCGGGGCTCCGCGCGGGCAGCGCTCACCCAGGATCTCGTCGAAGATCTTGTACAGGCCGGGCACGAAGGTCACGTCCCTGCAGTTGAGGCCCAGCTCCTCGTCGAACACCCACATTTGCTGAAAAGGAGGAGGATGCGACGCAATTCACACCGGGCATCGCCGGCCGCGCCCGGCCCGGCCCCGCACCCACCTGCGTGACGGTCTCCACGGATCCGATGTAGGTGTCGGGCCGCAGCAGGATGTGCTCCAGCTGCGACTTCTTCTGGTAGATGCGCTCCACGGAGAGCCGCTTCTGGGCGCCATCGGCCGCGAGCAGGCGGGGGTTGTCCTGCAGGGGCTGCGGGGAGAGAGCGGAGCTGAGCGGGGTCGGGGAGCGACGGGGTGCTCGGGGAGCGCAGGCAGCGAGGGCGGGCAGGGGAGGGCGGGGGTCGGCGGCCCCACACGCACTCGGAGCGGCGCCGGGGAGTCCAGGAGCTCCATGGCGGCGGGGCGCTGAGCGGAGCGATGGCGGCCGGTAACGGCGCTGCGCGTTTCAAACCTCCGCCGGGCCCGCCGAAACGCTCCGCCAATCCCCGCGCGCCGCCCCCCGAAAGCCGCCAATCGCTGAAGGGCGACGGGGACGTAGAGCCCGCCCCTGCCTCCTCCCAGTCGGCCGCGAGGAGCTCCGCTCTTTCAAAAGCAGCCAATCAGAAGGGGCGACTGCTTGATGGGCAGAGCGGAAGACAAATAGAGGAACGAGAAGGGAGGACCCTGCGCGGCTGGATCTGTGGACATGCTCAGTCGTTGTTTGAAGGACGGTGTGGGCGGCCGTAGGGGCCGGCTGGACGGGCTTGGACGGGCTTGGACGGGCTTGGATGGGCTTGGATGGGGATGACCGGCTCCACTGGGCAGTGCTGGGACTGGCTGGCCGGCCTGCGCTGCCCCAAAGGGGCGCTGAGCCGCTCTGCCCCGCAGCCGCCCTCACGGGGGGAGCGCTCACGACGGCCCCCTACACAGCGCTGCCTTGTCAGCTCGTGGCCCCGGCACCGCTGCCTTTGCTGCCCGCAGTGCCGCTGCCCCGGCCGCTGTCGGAGCGGAGCTGCGCTGTGACCCCACGGTGCTCCCCCACCCGCAGCCCCATCGCGATATCCGCAGCCTCGCAGCAGCATCCCAGCCCCGCGCTGTCCCCATATCCCGGCCTTGTGACGTTCATCCCTCCGTGCAGCTGGCGGCATCCAAACGAGGTCCCTTCCTTAAAGGTTCCCTTCCAATAACGGATGCCCAACATTGGCCCGAACACCCAACTTTTTCTCGTCTTTTATTCTGAGGGAGATATGAACACGGGCGGTGCTGGAGGTGCGGGGCTGGCTGTGCACAGGGACGGCACGGACGTCCTCCCGGTGCTCCCTGCCCCCCCCGGGGTTCGGGGCCGTCACCACATGTGGCGATACGGGAAGGCGACCTCCACGCACAGCACGACCAGCGCCTCGGAGCAGTTGTGCCGCCGCCCGGCCAGCAGCCTGCCCTGAGCCAGCGGGGCCGCCAGGCCGTCCCCGGGGCCGGAGCTCCGCCAGCCCTGGCAATCCCGGCGCTGAGCGTGGCCGCCCCGCAGCGTGGATCCGTGCCATGCCAGCCTGCGGGGCCTGCGAGCGGCAACGGGATGATGGGGATCGTCGGGGAGCCCTCCCTGTCCTCCCGCCCTTTGCACCTTCGCTTGATGCCGTGGACGTGCGGGGCCAGGACTCACCAGAGGGCATCCGTCAGCACGTTGCGCCCATTGAAGGTGTAGATGGGGCCCCGCGGGGCGGCTCCAGCCTGGCTCTGCAGGAGGGAGCTCCAGGAGCGAGCCAGCAGCTGGCCCTGGGGACGTGGGGGGGGCACTGAGCTGGGGATGGAGGCAAGTGCCCCCCAGAGCCCCTTGTCCCCATTACAATATCTCTGGGTGGAAGGAAAACACGCGGAAAGCCCGTGCTTCCTGCGGGACACCCTGAGCCCTCGGGGATAGGGCCGCCTGCCTTCAGGTTGACGATGGGGAGGGTCCTGTCCGTCCTCTTGACGATGGAGGCCAGGTCCTGGCTGGGAGCCGACAGGAACGCACGGAAAGTGCCGTAGAGCCGGGCCTCTTGTGACTGCCGGTAGCACTGCAGGTCGGCGCCGCGGATGCCGCTCATGTCCCCGGAGAGAGGCACGTTCAGGGCCACCAGACGGAGCTACAGGGACAGCGGGTGGCAGCGCATGGGGGGCCGGGGCTGCCAGGGTATGTGCCATCATCCCGCACCCCATGGGGCACTGCAGCTCCCTGAGTCGGGCATCGAGGTCTATACAGACCCACGGACACGGGGGGGGGGGGGGTGGTGTCCCTGGGCTCTGTGGGATTGGAAGGGGCCAGGAAATGGGGCAATGCTTACAGAGGGCATCCTGGGGGCAACGGTGGTCGGCAGGGTGCTGGGCAGCCCATCTCCATCCTCCTTCAGGACCTGCAATAGTGGGGACACCTGGGGACAGCAGTCTCGGTGCCCAGGGTGCATCTCCCTCCTCATCCCACTGCTACCCGGAGTCTCCTGGTGCCACCTCCATCCCTCTGCTCACCAGTGCATCTGCCCGGGCCCCTGAGGGTGGCTCTGTGTTGGGACCTCGTGTCTGCGCCTGCTTTGCCTCCTGCACAGAGATGGAAGGGCAGTCCCAGCGGTGCACCCCCCCACGGGGGTCTGTCCCTTTGCCTCACCTGGTACTGCGGCGTGGAGGCGGAGGGGTCATCACCCACAAAGAGCGACTCCGAGTCCTCCAGCTGCAGAAGAGCAGTTAGGGGGGGCCAGCCACATTGTGTGTCCTCCCCCCCCCCCATCCCAGCACAGTACCAGCAGCCTGCTCCAGCCCCGGGGGGTGCGCAGGAAGGCGTTGCTCCCCTCCTGCACGTAGACAAGGCTGCCCTCGGGGATAGAGCTGCCAGACCTCAGCATCAGCTCCTTAGACCTGAATACCCACGTCTGGCGCTGGGAAGGACATGGAGAGGGGTCAGGGTTCAGCTGACCCCCCCCTGCCCAAGGGGAGCTGCCTACACATTGAGGGTCACCCATGGGCACAGCCCCCCACGCACCCGGAGGTCGGCACTGGGCTCCAGCGGCTCTGGGCGGGGAACATCAGCATCTGGAGAAGCTGAGGAGGGTTTGGGTTAAAGGCAGGACTGGGGTTGGGTTGGGGTTGGGTTTAGGGGTAGGGTTGAGGTCACAGGGCACCCCAACACTATGGGGACACCAGGACAACACCACAGCCCTGGTGCAAGGGCATGAAGCTTTGCAAAAGGTGCTTCCAAGCAGACAGGAGTTCACCCAAATCCCCAGAGAGCCCCTTACCCACTGCCCAGGCTGCACTGCCTGCTGCCTGTGAATGCAAACGGGGCCGTTACTGCTGCTGGGACACAGGTGCACGGCGGTGACATGCAGGGAGGGGACAGCGAGCTTACCGGCTGCTTGCAGGGCTGCTGTCCACGCATGGGGTGCAGCCGCTGTGAGCAGAAACAGGAGGATGCACGGGGAGAAGCTTGCACTGCATGCTCACACACGTGTGCACTGTGGCACAGAGCTGTGCACTGCCTGTGCAGGGCCTTACATTGAGGTAGAGGAGTCCTGGTGCTCCGGGGGGGCCTGGAGGACCGGGCGGACCGGGGGGACCTCGGGGACCCTGCAAGAAGAGCAGTGTGGAGATTTAGGGTGGTTTGGTGCTGCTCCTGGGGTGGGCGGCTCTACGTCACGCTGGGTGCAATCTCTCACATGGGGAATGATTGCTCCGTAGATATCCGGCTCCTCCTTGCTGTGCTGCAAAGGGAACGCGAGCAGATGGAGGCTGAGCTCCTCTTGCCACCCCCCACCCCCCCGCCACCCCCACCCCAGGACTCACCGGTTGGTACCAGGCGCTGGGCTGGCTGCCATGGCTGGGGAATGGGAGGTGGCCTGGTTTGCAGCCGGGCTCCCCATAGCAGCACCCCTGGGGGGCACAGTGAGGCAGGGTAAGGGCGGGGAAGAGGGGCGCATGTCGGGTGTGCAGTGTGCATGTGCTGCAGAGGATGGTGCAACTCACCCACCCCCATAACCGCACCAGCTCCCCCCCGGGCAGCACCCCATACAAACCCGCTCTCCTGGATCACCCTTTTCACCCTGGAAGAAAGCAGAGCGGTCCCATAAGCGCCCTGATGCCAGTGATCCCAGCCCTATGAGCACCCCAAACCCAGTGTCTGCTGCCCTGCTCACCTTGGGACCCGGTGGCCCAGCTGCTCCGTGGTGCCCAGTGGCTCCATGGTGCCCAGCATGGCGTGGTTCACACTGGGATGAGGGGATGTGCAGGTTGAGCGCTGGGCACTGCGACCACCCTGAGCACCCCCAGCCCTGTGCTCACCCTGTAGTCCCCCGGTGGCCCCGGTGGTCCCATAGGACCGGGCATCCCTGGGGCTCCCATCTCCCCGGTGCGGCCAGGGCTCCCTGGCATGCCTGGCAGTCCTTGCTCACCCTTCTCACCCTGCCGGGATGCAGCACGTGGGGCCATGAGTGTGGGGCCCATGTCGCCCCAGGGCTCCGCAGCAGCAGAGCATGGAGCTGGGTGCATCCCGGTGCCCCAACCCACCCGCTGGGGTCTGTGGGTGGAAAGGCTGGAACCCCCTCTGAGATCCTTCTTTACCTTTGATCCTGGGAATCCTGGCTCCCCTCGGAGTCCTGGTTTGCCAGGGAATGACGCAGGTCCCGGGGGGCCAGGGGGCCCTTCGTGCCCAGGTGCTCCAGGGGGTCCCTGTGTGCCTGGGAGTCCCGGTGCCCCCGGGGGGCCATCGGGCCCAGCCAGGCCTGGGGATCCTGGAGCTCCTTCACTCCCTGGGAACCCAGGCGGTCCCACGGCTCCTGGTGGGCCAGGGGGGCCAGGCTGCCCCTCCCGCCCAGGGAGCCCTGGAGTGCCTTCATGACCTGGGTAGCCTGGGGGGCCGGGGGGGCCAGGCAGCCCTGGGGCACCGGGTGGTCCTGGCTTCCCGGTGGGGCTGGCTGCTCCCAGCTGTTAGGTGGAGGGAGAGAGGAGAGAGTGGCATTGGTGAATGGCAGCATCATGTCCTGTGGGCCCCCGACCCACCTCTGCAGCTCTGCGTCCCTGCTCTGCCTGTCCCTACAGGTCCAGCTGAGGATGGACCCCACAGCAACTCCAGCACTGCCCATCCATCCCGGCATCATCCCCCATCCCTCCATCACCCACCCATGTCACCCAGCCCAGATGCCCCCTCTCCACCTCTCACCTCTCTCTCTGATTCCTTGGAGACAGCTGCAGGTGCAGGTGGACTCCTGGCTCCCCCAGCACCCGGTGGTCCCGGTGGCCCTGGAGGTCCTGGTGGTCCGGGGGGGCCCCGAGGTCCCTGGTGACCCGGTGGCCCCGGGCTGCCTGTCCTCCCTTTCTCCCCAGACAGCCCTGGCTGGCCCCGCTCCCCAGGGAAACCGCGGTCGCCTTTCTCTCCCTGTTGGGATGAAGACAGAGCCTGGCTCCTGCCCCGGCACTGCGACTGTCCCTGCAATGCATACTCCAAAGCAAGAATCCAAATCCAGAGCAGAAAAAGGTGAAAAGAGCCCTGGGGTCTCTCCCCACAGATCCCCAAACCCTCTGCCCCCTGCAGGACCCCCTCTCCTACCTTGGGGCCGGGAGGGCCGGGGCGCGCAGGGCAGACGCAGTTGGAGCCGTTGTGCATCTGGGGGGGAGCGAGCTGTGAGCTGTGGGGATGGGGGATGGGGGGCACCGGCACCAACCCCCCCTCACCTGCAGAGTCACATCCAGCCCGGGGGCCATGGGCACACGCTGGGGCAGCCCCTTCGGTGTGGTCTGTGCAGGAGAGAGGAGCACCGAGAGTGAGACCCCTGCATCCCCGCCCCGTGCCCGGCTGCTCCACAGCTCCCCCACAGTCGTCCCCCCTCCCCCCCCCCCCCGCCCCTGCACCTTGATCTGCAGGAACTCCTCTTCCTCTGCGCTGCCCTCAAAGATCTGCGGGGTGGCCGTGGGGTGGTTGTGCTAGAGCAGAAGGGCAGAGCTCAGCATGCAGCCAGTGGGGTTCAGGGGGTGCTGTGCACTGCGGGCTGTGCAGGGGCACCAGGGTCTCCTCTCCAAGGGGCAGAGAGGGGAAAGCATTTCCAAGGATGGAGCCCGGTGTGGGATGCACTGCTGTGGCTGCGCTGTGCTTGGTGCTGATAAGGGAAGGATGCAGAGCAGGCCTGGCATGGGCTGGGGGGGGGTGGGGATGGGGGCCTTGGGGCGCAGCTCCTGCCAGGGATGGGCACCTGGGCTCGCGTGCGCAGTAGGGCACGGCCCTGGCCCTTGGTCCTGGCAGAGGGCTCCCGTCTCCTCGAGTCCGTTCCCAACGGGGGTTTGCTCAGCGGCAGCTTCTTCATGGGCTCTGCATCAGCAGCGTCTGCAGGATGGAGACGTGGGCAGCAAGGTGCTCCCTGCTCCCAGTGCATGGGAGTGTCCCCTCCTCACCGGATCCGGGAGCGTGGGGTGCGCACCTACCTTCCTCCCCACTCAGGGTGGGCAGCGTGGGGGTCGCGGGGCTGGTGCCGGGCTCTGGAGTGGTGTCTTCAGAGCCCAGTGGGTAGAACCACTGGGCCGTGCCGTGGGGCAGAAGCCCGGCCAGCACTGAGAGGATGCAGAGCGCACGGAGGAGGCGTGGGGTACCCAGCCTCATGCTGCAGCCCCGGGGTGCCGAGGACAGGGGGGTCTGGCTCATCCCGCTCGTCTGTGCCGTCTGCTCCTGATGCCCTGGCACAGCCCCTGCTGTTATCACAGTGGCCCCCGACACGCCCCCTCCCCCCCCCCCAGCACCCCCGCCCTGCGGGCTGCATCCAGCATAGAGCTGAATGCTCACTGTGAGGGTGCGGGACAGGGAGGGCGCATGGGAGCTGTGGGAAGGGAGCCGGGTCAGGGAGAGGGGTCTGGAGGAGGAGATGCTGCCTGGAAATGGGAGTTAAACCATGAGGGAGTGCGGGAAGGCGCTGGCTGGGAGCAGGGCACTGGCACGGCAAGGAGCAGCGTCCCACCAGGGATGCATGCAGCCCATGTCCCCCTGCTCCATCAGAGCCCACCTGCTCTGGAAGAGCTGCCATCAGCTTGGGGGCTGCAGTGCTCTCTGAGGCGTCTTCTGCCCCTGCAACACTGCATTGCTGGAACCCACAGCCCCTCTGAGGTGCTGTGATGGCTTTGGAGCTGTTGGGTGTCACAGGAGGACAAAGACCCAGAGCTGGGAGCCCAAAGAATCTGAGCGGGGGCTCGAGGTCGAATGTCTTGGGGTGCTGGCTGCATGGCAGTGGGGTGCACCTGCCTTCTTCATGGGGCAGGACGGTGCTGGAATCGGGGACCTGGAGGCCCCGTGCCTGGCAGAGATGAGGAACAGCCCCTGGGGCTGCAGAGCTCACACATCCCCGCTCCCCGTGCTCCCGCTCCCTCCAGCCCTGCAGACACAACAGCCTCCCCGGCGGGCGCGTGGTGCTGCCAAGGTCTGATAAGGAGCTGCGGCTGCCGCGGGGCCGGGCACCTGTTTGGGTTTGGCCCCGGCTCGGACGCTGTGTCAAGGCTGGCGCCTCTGCCCCGAGTCACGGCCACTGTGTGCCCCGTGGCTGTGCCAGGCAGGGCAGGGGCTGGGGGCTGGGGGGCCCCCGCTCTGCTAGGAGGGGAAGAGGGGTTTGGGAGCACGGGAGGCAGCAGCCCTGCCGGCATTTCTCCCCCAGCTGGTGCTGCCCCGCTCGTGTGGGGATGGAAGGTGATCTGGGAGCGGCCAGAGTGGCACAGCTGGCACTGCAGTGTGAGCGCGGGGTGGGAGGTGAGTGCAGGGGGCTGCGGTGGGCTCAGCCCCTTCTGAGCACAGCCGGGCTGCAGGCATGGAGCGGAGGTGGTTTTTGTTGATGCTCTGCACCTCCCTCCTGCTGTCTGTATGCAGAGGGCAAATGAAATAAATGGCGCTGATGTTTGGTGCCTCTGAGCTGGTGGCACACTGTCACAGCTCCCACTGCTCCTCAAGGTCTGTGGGGGGTGAATGGGGCCCCATGAGACGTGCTCATGCCTGGCTTGCTGTGCTCAGCCCATGTGCTTGGAGCTGGAGCTGGGTTGGGTGTCAGGAAAAGGTTCTGCACCTTCCAGGTTGGGTGGGGAACACGGCTGCCTGAGCTCACAGTGTTGGGACACCACTCGCAGACATGGGTCTGGTTTGGGTGCTGCTGTGTGGAGCCAGGGTTGGACTCAGTGGTCCCTGTGGGTCCCTCCCAGCTCGGGATGGTCTGTGGTTCTGTGGTTCTGTGGTTCTGTGTTCTGTGGTTCCCTGCCCCCGGGCTGAAGGCTGCAGCCCCGCACGCTGTGGCTCCCTGTGCTCCCCGCACCGCACCGCACCGCAGCCCTTACCCCCCTTCCCCCCCCCCCGCCAACGCTCCGCAGTTCGCAGCTTTGGGCGCTACGGGGCGCTGGGGGTCGGGGCAGCCCGGCCCGTGCTCGGACCTGGGCTTCAGCCGCTGTCCTGCACGGTGCAGCCTCCCAGCCTATCCCAGTCTATCCCACCGCATTCTACTCCATCCCAATCTGTCCCAGTCCATTTCATCCCAGTCCATCCTAGTTATCCCTATGCATCCTGGTTCATCTCAGTCCATCCCATCACATCCGAATCCATCCCGTCTCAGTCCATCCCAATTCATCCCAATTCACCCCAATCTCGTCCCAGTTTATTTATTCCATCCCATCCCACCCCAGTCAATCCCAATCTATCCCATCCCAGTCCATCCCCATTCACCCCACTCCATTCCAGTCCATCCCTTCCCACCCTACCCCATCCCCGTTATCCCAGTCCGTTCCGTTCCGTCCCAGTGGCTCAGTGCCGGGCAGCACTCCGGCTTCGCGACGGTTGCGGGGCAGCACGGGGTGGTGCGGCGGGGGTCGTGCAGAGCCGTGGGCTGCGGGATGGGGACGCCCGGGCGGCACCGAGGAGGTCGGGGCGGCGGAGCTCTCCCGGTGCCCGCTGCCGGAGCCCGGCGGTGACGGGGGCGGCTCCGCCGGTGGCCCTGGTGGCTGCGGGAGGTGTGGCCATCCGGGCCGCATAAAGCGGCCGCCGCCGCCGCCCCGCGCCCGCCGCCAGCCCGACGCCGAGCGGAGCGGCGCGGGGCCGCCATGTGCGGGGCCGCCGTGCTGCTGCTGCTGGCGGCGGCGGCGGCGGCGGGGCCGGGGCCGGGGGGCGGCGGCGGCGGGGAGGAGGCGATCCAGTGCCCGCCGTGCTCGGAGGAGCGGCTGGCCCGCTGCAAGACCCCGCAGGGCTGCTCCGAGCTGGTGCGGGAACCGGGCTGCGGCTGCTGCGCGACCTGCGCGCTCGGCCGGGGCACCGCCTGCGGGGTGTACACGGCGCGCTGCGGGGCCGGGCTGCGCTGCTATCCGCCTCGCGGGGTGCCCCGACCGCTGCACACCCTCATGCACGGGCAGGGCGTCTGCACCGACCTGGCCGACGTCGAGGCCATCCAGGAGAGCCTGCAGCCGCCAGGTAGGGCGGGGGGCGGGATGAAGTTGGCGGGGATTTGTGCCGCCCGTGGTCGGTTGGGGAGAGCAGAGTGGGGGGCTTGGCGGGGGTTGCAGTTGGATGGGCAGCTTGAAGGTGCTTGGAGCAGGGCTGGGCTGCATGGATTCTCATGGGTCGCCTCTGTGCCGTCCTCACCTGCTCCCGGCATGGCAGTGCTGCCGTTGGGTGCGAGAGGAGCACCTGCCAACAGCCCCCACCCGCTTGCAGCGTGGCAGTGTCACAGGGTCACATCTGTGCATCCTGGCACAGCTCTGGGGCCGGGCAGGGTCCGACAGTGCAGAGCTGACAGAGCAGCTCCTGTTGTGCACTGGTGACGCCGGTGCTCCGCTCCCAGGGATGCTGCTGGCACGGTTGGGAGAAAACAGTAAAGAGGCTGCAGGGCACCTGCTTCCCTCACAGACAGGTCAGCGTGGGGCCGTGGCCACAGCTCTGCATGCAGGTGGGGCAGTGGGGGCACGGGAGCCCTGGGGCTGCAGCCCTGCTGCTGTGGGCTCTGCCCTGCTGCCCCATGTTCCCGTCATCGGGGTAGGGGGTGGCCCTCTGCCAGGGTTCCTGTGCAGTGTCACCTGGGGCTCCCAGGACAGGGGATGTCCCATCTCCCTGCTGTGTCCCATCACCCGTGCCAAATGTGTGAGGTGCCCCCTGACCCCCCCCTCCCAGGACAGACGTTGGCTGTGAGCACTTGGCACAGTGCTGCCGGGGGTCCCCTGCGCTGCCCGTCTGTCCCCAGCCCACATCCTGCAGGAGCTTTCTGCACTCCCTGGCCCACGGCTGCACCGGGCTGCCAAACCCTGTTGGTTTTGGCTTTGCCCCGTGTAACGCAGCATTTTTTTCCCAGAGTCTTTAGGAAATGGAGTTGCAGCTTTTTTCCTTTGTTTCCTGCGCCTGTTTGGCTGTGCTGGGGCTGTGGGTGGCCCTGGGATCATGTGCCTGGCCAGCAGAGCCGCAGGTGGCAGGAGGGGACAGTGGGCGGCCACGAGCCCTGCGCCTGGGGCACCCTATGGGGCAGCACGGGGCGCTGCCCTGCTACCTCCCTGGCACGGCACTGCCCCATGGTGCTGCCTGAGCCCTGCTGTGTGCCCCAGGGCCGCTGCATCGGGCATCCAGGACCTGCGGGTGGCGTCTGGGGAGAGCTGAGGACGTCCCGCAGCACGCACCACGAGTGGCTTAATGATGGGTTAATAGTTATGTCTGGGAAAAAGTGACTGGACGCTGCCAGCACCTGCTCTTGCCCTGTCCCGGCGGTGTCACCGGGGCTGTCGGGGCGTGGATGGGGTCCCTGAGCTGACCCCAGGCTCAGAGTGCAGCCGGCGCTGCTGCCCCCGTCCTGCAGGCGCCATCCGGGGCTCCGCTCGCTGCCTCGGGGCTCTCCTCCTGCTGGAGCGCAGTGCTGTGAATCACACGCCCAGCATGTGACAAACCTCATTTGTGGCTCCCGCTAATTGAAGGCGACGCTGAATGCCTTGCTTATGTCTGCTCCTGTCCTCGGGCCAGGCAGAAACCCCTGAGCTCCCGAGGCAGCACCCCAAACCCAGCCGTGGGGTTTCCTCCCCGTGCTGCTCTCTGTGCAGCCCTCGTGCTGCTGGTGGTGCAGGGCCGGTGCAGCGCGAGCTCCAGGTCTCCTTCCTGGCTCTGAGGAATTTGCTTTTCCCAGATCTTTGTGCTCCACTTGAAGGAGTTCTGCTGCCCAGCTCGGTGCAGGAGCGCTGCCAGCGGCAGGAAGGCGAGAGGCTCCTCGGCCGGGTGGGAGCTCGCCCTGAACCGCAGCCATCCTGCAGTGGGGAGGGGGCCTGGAGCCGGGGGCCGCGGTGGGGAGCGCGGTGCCGGTGCCGACGGAGCGCCGCCGTGCTGCCCGGAGGCACCGCGCTCCTGGGGACCTCAGGAAAATGTTACTGGCATCTGGTTTTATTTAACTGAGAGATTTGACTCTGACAGCGGCTGGAGGGGGGAGGGGGGCTGGGTTGGGAGCGGGGGGTTCTGGTCCTGTGCCGGGCTATGGTGCGGAGCAGTGCCACTCTGTGCCCTGTGTCCCCTCCATGGGAGCTGCACTGGGACTTTGCTGTGGTGGCCCCATCAGTGCCAGGCGTCCCTGAGGAGCAGCGTCCCCAAGTGAGTCCCAGTGGCTGCAGCACAGTGCCTCAGGGATGTGACACATCGCCGTGGGGATGTGATACGGTGAAAGGGGCTGCCAGGGGTCCTGGAGTCTCTCCTCAGTGGGTGTCAAGTTTGTGTTTCAAATGTCAAGGGCATGAGCCGCTTCCTGGAAAAAAAAGGACAGTTTAAACAAAAAGCAAATATTACAGTGATGGAGAAGGGTTTGCCAGCCAGGTGGGCTGTGAACTTTACCCAGGACACTGGGAGCTGCTCAGTGACCCACTGCAGCCAGGAGCTGCCATCAGGTACACAGTGCCCAGCCCTCCTCCAGGCGCTGATACCGCAGCATCGGGCCCCTCCATGCAGCAGGAGGAGTGGTGCGTGGCCCAAAGGCATCGCTGGGCCTGGAGGCAGGGGGACCTGCAGCCCAATGGAGTCTGAGCAGCCCCGGTCTTATGACGTTCCCTCCCAGCTGCCAACATCTGGGATTGCAGTTTGGCTCCGTGTGGGCGCAGGCGGGGATGCCAAGCGCCGCCCCCCCCGGCCGGCCAGCAGGAGGTGGACTGTCCTATTCCTGGAATTCTTGCTTTCATGTCCCGGAAAGGGAGTGGGGGGCTGGGGCTGTGCACCCCGAGCAGAACCTGGTGGGGCCCCGCAGCCCCGGTCCTGCTGCAGTTTTGGGGGCTCCAGGGGTCGGCTGTTGTTCTGCGTGTCCTGGGGTCAGCACCCCCCCCCGGTGCCCATTGGCTGCACAGGGCTGGCAGGGTGCACCCCAGTGCTGTGCAGTGTTCCAGGCGTGAATTACAACCCTGCAATAACAGCCACGTGGAAACAAACTGTGAATGAGCAGTAAGAGCTCCTGAGAACCTTTCCCTGTGCTGTAAGGGGTCTCAGACCAATGCTGTGCCAGGGACAGGGCGTTGCGTGGGGGGAGCACTGGGGGCTGCCTTGTAGCGCTGATCCCTGCTGTGTCCTTGCAGAGAAGGAGGAGATCGAGCACCCCAATAACAGCTTCAGCCCCTGCAGCATCCACGACCGCAAGTGCCTGCAGAAGCAGCAGGCGAAGCGCGTCAACAACGGCAATAAGATGCGCAGCAGCGGGAGCCCACATCACCGCGAGGAGACCCGGCCCATTGTGAGCACTGGGGGCACCAGGGCAGGAGGGGGGCTGGCAGCGGGGCAGGGTGGGGGGATGCACGGTGCCCCACTGAGAGCTCGGCTCCCCCCTCTCTGCAGGCCCAGGGCTCGTGTCAGAGCGAGCTGCACCGTGCACTGGAGCGACTGGCGGCCTCACAGACACGGACACACGAGGATCTCTACGTCATCCCCATCCCCAACTGCGACCGCAATGGCAACTTTCACCCCAAGCAGGTGGGCAGGGTGGGGGCTGCACTCTGCAGGGCTGGGGGATGTGGGGGGCACTGGGTTTCAGTGGGAGCTGCAGAAGCTCCTGGGCTTGTCATGGCTCCATGGACGCTCTCTGAAGCTGTGCCTCCCTTCAGTGTCACCCGGCGCTGGACGGGCAGCGGGGCAAGTGCTGGTGCGTGGACCGCAAGACGGGGGTGAAGCTGCCGGGCTTCCTGGAGCTGAAGGGGGACTTGGATTGCCACCAGCCAGCAGACAGCATGTGAGCGTGAGCGCGGCCGGGCCGCCCGCCGGGGCCATGGAGGAGAGGGGACACATCTGCCGAGCAGCTCCTGGCGCCCGTGGACCCCAGCGTGCCCCCCATCACTGCTCTGCTCTGCCCACGGTGCAGCACCGTGCCGCCCCAGTGCTGTGACCGCCACCCAGCAGCCGCTGGTGGCATCCCTGTCCCGCACAGACCCCGGACAGACGGACACTGCTGGGTGTCAGCAGGGCTGCTTTCAGGCTGTTTCGGTGGAGATGCATAAAGGAGAAAGCAGCGCTGCGCCCCTCCCTGCCTGCAGCCCCCCGCCGCAGTGCCTTCCCTGCGCCCCCCTGAGCGCGCAGCACAAGAAGTGCCTCAGCCCCCCGGTGTGGGCAGGGAGGGGATGGGAGGGGATGGACCCCCAGCTGCCACCTGCCTTTGTGTGCGTGGGGTGGGGGTCGCAATGAGCAATAAGGACCTTCACCCCGGGGTGGGGCAGCAAGGGCATCAGAGCCCGGCTCGCGGTCGCTGCCCTCTCGTCTTCAGATGGGGTGCAAACAGGACGGGTTTCCATGTCCTGCGGGTGTGAAATGGCAGCAGGTGTGGGGCTGAGCGCGGGGTGGGTCCTGCAGGGTCAGCGCTGCGCACCGCCGCTCCTGCTGTGCTGCTGCAGTTACACACTGCCCTGCACCAGCATAAGGCCCCCCACCTCCCCGCCGTGACCCCACTGTGACCCCGCCATGACCCTGCCGTGACCCCACCGTGACCCTGCCGTCTCTTTTCTGCACTGATGCGATCGTAGTTCCCTATCGGACGACCCCATCGCTCAGGCTCTGTGTAGCACCATCCTTCCTTTTACAGTAAACTTGAAGCTTTGTATTGTTAAAAGAAAATAAGAAAAGAAAAAGCTGTTGCTGCGTTTAGTGGCCGTGTTCCCTTTCCCTCGTGACTCGGGCTGTATGGGGATGGGATGCCCAATGGGCACCTCCCACCCCAATGCTCAGAGCACAAAGCGCGGGTGCTTCTGGGCAGTGCTGTGTCCCCTTTGGGGGTGACACCGTGCAGTCCCCATCTCGGATTGAGGTCCTGGCTGCTTCACAGGATGCCCCGAGCCAGACGGGCACAGCGAGCTTCCAGGAAGGACGGCGTTGGAGGCGCGCATCGCTCAGAGAATTGTTTGTTTTTTCCTAAATCCGGGTGGTTTTGGCTGAACTCCCCCCCTCCTGCAGCGCTTCCCTGGAAAAGGGATTTCAGCAAACGCAGAACTCCCACTGCGGGCAGCGGTGCCTGGAGCTGCTCCCGGTCGGGCTGGAGGGAGGCAGCAGCTGTACCCCTCCCTGCAGATCAGCCCCCGCTTTGCTGGCGAGCTCTGCAAACCGGAGCTGTTTGGGTGGGGGGGCCCGGCTGGGCGGCGCCAGCAGCGCTCCCCCCGGAGCCGCTCAGAGCCAAAGCGTTTGGATTCTGCTCCCTGATGCTCAGGGCAGCGCTGCCATAAACCCGAGGAGCTGCAGCAGCGCTGCCTGCGGGTCGTGCAGTGCGGGTCCTGGGCTGGCATTGCTTAATGAGAACAGGTCGAGTGGAGCTCGGCCCTCCTTCGTGGCTCCTGGCCGACAGACGGACAGCGTGCTGCAGGACGGGGCTGAGCACTGCGGGCAGCAGAGCGCTGCATTTCAGTTGCTAAATCACTGCAGTGAGATAAACAATGCGCTGATTTATTGACCCCCCCCAGAGGGCCGCGTGGCACAGAGTCCGAAATGAGAGCAGCGCGGGGGGAGGAGGGTCTGCGCAGACCCAGTGCTGCGGGGCTGAGCACATTGACGTCAGCCAGGGCTCCGGCCCAAATGCGTCCCAGTTCCTTCCAAATCCCAATGCTTCACCGTCGTGAAAATGTCAGCGTTTATTTCTCAGCCTGTGGCGCTGTGAGGAGGTCGCGGTGCTCTGGGACATGGCTTTGCAGAAAGGGCAGAAGAATTCAGAGGCGTTGCGCACAGCTGTGCCGTGCTGGCAGCTCTGCCACCACCGGTGCTTGCAGAGGAGACTGGGACCTTCCAGCGCAGCCCACTGACTTCAGACACCGTGACGCTGCTCTACTGCCACAGTCCCCCCAGACCTCCCCCTCTCCATGGGGAGGGGGCACAGCGCCGTGGCTGCAGGGATGGGGCTCAGCACACCCGTCCTATCCCAGCATGTGGCAGCGGCCGGGCGCTAAGGGGCGGGCAGCAGCTTGCTGATGAGGTCGATGACAAGTGCTGCTGGCTGCACAGGGTCGTACTCCGCAAACAGGTGGCACAGGTTCTCCGAATCCATCTGGCTTTTGGCCACAAACCCGAAGATTCTTTGGAAAAGGAGAGGGAGAGGCGCTGAGCTACAGAGGGACCCACTCCAAACGGCCCCGGCACCGATCCCACTCCATCCCCTCCTTGGCCCGCACCCCAGTCACGTTTGCTGGGAAGGGAGAAGCATTCTGGCAGCATTGCGTCCTCCAACAAGGAGAGGAAGAGCCGCGCTGTTGCCTGTGCCTGGGGGGGCAGGGGCCAGGCGGGGTCCCATCTGGGGGCACAGAGCTGAGCCCCTCACCTCCCCTGTGCTGTCAGGTCAGAGCCCCCACCCATCCCCACTTCAGCCACCCCCGTTTCCAAGCGAGGATTCTGCATCAGGGTCGGGCTCTCACCTGGAGGATTTGCAGTACTTCTGCCACCTAAAGGAAGGGGAACATTTCAGGGTCAGCTCTGCACAGCAGCTCTCGCCCCACTGCCCCCCCTGCGCCCCACACTCACTTCCTGCCCTCAGGGTCCATCCCGCAGAACCGGACGGCACTCAGTGGGTAGTGCCGCCTGAAGAACACCCTGTGGGGAGGGGGCACAGCGTCAGGGTGGGAGGCACCACGGGGGTTCTGGGATCTCAGACCGACGCACGGCCCCATAGCATCCCAGCACCGCTGGGCCACCGCCACCCGCTGCACTGAGAGCAGCACCGCGCGGTGCTGTGAGCACAGGGATGTCGCAACGCAGCTCTGCGCTGCAGAACGCATGGAGCACCGCAAAGCTGAGAGCTGCCCTGCCCTGAGCCCCCACCTCCTCTGCACGTCCGTCAGTGTGACGCCCTGCTCCGACGCTCTCAGGCGGACCAGGGTGGGTGTGGGCAGCGGATCCAACTCCAGGGTGCAGGACGTGGCCTTCTGCACAGCCGGGGCTCCCACCAGCGTCTCCGTGCTCACCGAGCCCAGGTACAGCGCATTGCACTCTGCGGGAACAGCACAGTGGGGTCAGCGCCCCCTGCATCCCTACAGCATCCTGCGGCATCCCTGCGGCATCCCTGAGACATGGGAGCAGTGCTCCTGGGTCAGGTTCAGTTCTGCTGACAATGAGAGGCTGGGGGACGTGGAAATTCTTTGCGAATGTGCATTCCACTTTACTCAAATGCTTTGTGCTCATTGTTTTAAAAGTCAAAATGTTTAATTTTTGGTTTCTAAATGTCAGATCTGGCTTTTCCTCCCCTTCTGTTTATTGCATACTTCTAGTAATGAAAAGCAGAAGCCCCCCAGGCCAGCTGACAGCTTAGCGCTGGCTGAAGACATGACATTTGGGGCTGACTGTGCTGTTCCTGGTCAGGCTGAACTTTTCCATTTGCCAACTCGTTGTTCAGAATTTCCAGCAGTGACCGCACTGTGACACCAGCGCTGCCCCAGCCCCGCTCCCACCCGCAGCTCCCACCCGCAGCTCCCATCCACCCCCACTGGCGCCCTCGGTGGAACCCAGCGATGGCTCCAAACACCCCCTGCTCCCCATCCCTCCCCTGGGAACCCCCCCCTTTCAGTGCCCAGAATGAAGGCAATGGGGAGAGAGCCTTAAAAACTGGAGGCGGTGTGAAAGCGGAGGACTTTGGGGTCAGCATCCGCCTCGGGACCTCAAGAGCTGCCTTCTCCAGCACACCCACAGCTCAGCACCGCTCCTGCGCTCACCTGCGGATCTCTTCAGCGGGGACTGCGTGGGGCCGGGGCCGCAGTCGGGGCCGTCCTCTCCATCCGTGAGATCTGCGCGGGGCACAGATGGAGCAGCAGCGCTGCGGGTCGGGCTGCTCCGTGCTCACGGCTTGGCGTGGGCCGAACGCCTGCTGACGCTCAGAGCAGCGCAGCACGGGCTGGGACAGGGGGGCTGCAGAGCACTGCGCTCACACCTACCTTGGGCAGGGATGCGCAGCGCGCAGGGCAGCGCCAGCGGGGTGATGGAGTGCTGGTACACAAAGGCAGGCAGGCTCCCTGCAGCAGGGCAGATCAGCACTCGGCCCCACACGGTGCCCCGGGGATTGCGGGAGGAGGGGCACGAAGGGGGGCTGGGGTGGCATCCTTACCGAAGTACAGCTCCTCGCTGGCGCCCCGCAGGTGAACCCCTTTGGCCGAGGACTCGATGAGGAAATGCCGGACGAGGTCGCTGCTGTCGTCACCTTTGGGTGGCACGGAGGGGCTGTCAGCGCTGTGAGGCTGGGCTCAGTGACACCCCCGTGCCCCCCGCCGGGCCCCCACCTGGAGCGCCGGGAACCTTCATGGCCAGCCCGAAGGAGCCGCGGTACGACGTGCTGTCCCGCACCAGGAACGCGCCCGGCTCCTGGTCCTGCAGCAGCTGGATGGCTGTGGGGCACAGTGGGGCTCAGCCCGGTGCAGGGGGTTCCCCACCCCAGGCACAGGGCTGCCCCAGGCGCCCATCCTCACCTCGGTCCCTGCTCATGGTGGGCTTGAACCAGAACTTGGAGGTGTCCATCACGAACTTCAAGGTGGGCTGCTCAGCCCGGAGGGGACCTGCAGGGGGGTGAGCAGAGCTGGGGACCCCAACCTCTGTGAGGAGCTGCCGGGGGATCGCTCCCTCCTGCTGACCTGCAGAGCTCTCCTGCTTTTCCCACGAGAATCCCAATTAAACCCCCATGTCTGGAGAGCTGCCTCTGCTGATCTCCCTGGAGCACAACGGTCCCATTGTCTGCCCCTGAATGAGGGACCTCACAGACCTCGGTACCTTTAATGTCCTCCAAAGCAAACGGGAACCCCATCCTCCTCTCCCAGCTCCAGGCCCCACACCAGTGTGAACCGACAGAACTACGGCCCTCGCTTTCAGCTGCCATCAATGAGTGCATCTGCACCTCCAGTGGGACCAGAGCATTGCTGGTCCCCCCCACCTCCCCAAGCAAGGAGTTGCATGCCATGGGGATGCCCTAAGATCCCCCAGCTCCAGCATGGACCCCGCATTCCTCGCGTCCATCCCCCACAGATGAATTCCCCCTAGAAGAAGAGCTGCCCTATAGCAGAGCACTTACTGTCAGGGACGCAGGTGAGCGTGGGTGCTGACAGCGCGTTGTTCAGGGTGCTGAGCCCTGGGCTGGGCTGCACAGGGGCTGGGGGGGCTGTGCTCAGGCCGGGAAGGGGTATCCCACCTGGCTCCAAGCACCCATTGACCAGCAGCACCGGGACGTCAGGGAGGATGGAGGGTGGGCAGCTGCTGGCCTGGCCCTTCAGGGAGAGGCTGGGTGGGACAGGAGAGGCTGCAGGGGGGTGCGGGGGGCACAGAGCTTCTCCAGAACGAGACCTGGTGCCAGGTGATGATGTCTGGGGGCTGCCCACAGAGCCGGGGGGGGATGGGCAGGCGGCGTCGGGGTCACTGGCGTGGAGTGAGTGGGTGCTGCTGCAGGAGGAGGGAAGGAGGGAGGCATCAGGAGGGGCTGCAGGGCTGGGGCACGGTGCACGCATCTGCCCACAGCCCACCCCACCCCACTGCCATCACTCCCACCCTAATGGATAAGGGCTGGGGGTACCCCATCCACCCCCACCGCCTGCCTGAGGCGGGGCACAGGGCTGCGCTCACCTCCCAAAGACATAACTGGTGTCAGAGCCGGGGCTCATGGAGAGCAGGGACACCTCGCTGCCCCTCTGC